CCTAAACAGAGAAAATCGTATAAACTATTACCCCTGTTCAAAAGATTGGGGAGGAGTGTGAAACGGATGATAGGCGAACCTATCTACTCCTATTGACTGTAAGCAACTGACTACAATCTGGAATATGTTTCAGCTTCAAATAACCAGTAAAGGATTGATAAACAGTAAAAAAGCAAATCACTCAATCGAACTTACTTAAAATCCACGTTTCACCTAAGAAATAAAAGAAAACTATTTTTTTTTTTTTTTTTTTTGGTAGAGGCGATAATCCATGGGAACGATAAACTTCTAATGGAATAAAAATATGCGCGTAACGTTCCTCATTTATTAGTGGTAAAGTTACTTCATGGCGCATAACCTGCCCTCAAGATATTGCAAATGGCTGTATACGTTATAGACAGAAGTTCTATGTGTGTGTATCTGTGTGAGTAATCATCATGGAGGAAAATAGTGCACAGTGGTAAGAAAGACTTTCAACGGAATCGTTTTGAGGTTGAAAAGCTCAAGAGAGATGTTCGCAAGCGTTTTGATGTTAGTTTCCCTGAGAATTTGATCTAACGCGTAATGAATGTGGTCGCGGCTGTCTATGTAGGACAGGCCTCAAAAATCATCAAAGACGCCACACACACACAGAGAGAGAGAAGTCATTCACTTCGAGTTATGCGGCATTTCTACTTGCAGAGAATGTATTAAAGAATATATTTCAGTTGGTCGATTATAATGTCATATGAAACTTCACAGAAATTAATGTAACACCTACTGAACAAAAAAAAAAACAGAAAGAAAGACGTCCAGCGATGCCACAGCTGCGCAAGGGAATAAAAGACCCCAACTGGACTAAATAGCCATATACACATTGCTTACATTCGAAGATAAATCAATCGATGATATTACTGGAAATCGATTGATACCTATCATCACTATGTATATGTGCATATATATGTAATCTTGGAAACACACGTAAGCATAATTGAATTGTTGCTTTGACAGACCATGTTTATGATGGGGTTTATTTTATCAGTTCGTGAGCATGCAGAGTTCATTAATTTTGTTTCTTTGTGACCAACTCTATTTCTTCGTGTCTTAAAAAATACAACACTGAAATCTTTTATTGGTTTCGTTCGAAATACTCTTTTCGTTTTCCACTCATTCAAGCGCGTGTTTGTCATATTACTTGGATTTACCAGGAGTTTTGATTACCTGTCAAGCAAAATATGCTATATAACCAGGTAACTACAATACAATATGGGACTTCCGAAAAAAAAAAAGACATTTAATACGAGGCGTAGGAGGAGATGAGTTCATCTATCGTCCGGTCCACACATCCCCCGATTTTTTGAACATAAGTCAAAATTTATATCTTATTTCCTGTTTAGAGATGGGTTTCCGGTTCCTTCTAAAGTCTTCTTCAACTCTATGCTTTTTAATTCTCCGCCTAAACTCTGTAATTTTATTTACTATTTTCTCTTCCTCAATAGGAGTAAATAGGTTTGCCTATTGCCCTATTTACACTCTTCCCCTGTTTTTTGAACAGAAGTAGAGGTTTATCCCCTGTTTCTTGTTAAGGATTGGGTTTCCGATTCCTTCTTGTTATGGTAATTTTCCCACGCACGCACGGACTCTCCCAGCTATAAATAGGAGGTACTGCCTTTTGGAAAGGGAAGTTTCCAGCAGTCAGCTCTGACAGTCGGGCCGAACATTCTTGCTGTAACACTCTCGTTTGTATATGTTTGTATTACTGTTTCTGTTAATATATTTGTTTAACTCAACTCCTCTCTTTATGTTTTTATTTCTGGCCCTAGAAAGGCCACAACACTCCTAAAGTCTTTGCATTGTCTTTCACTATCGTAGCCGTTTGCGACGTAGTGACATTGTTGACTTGCTTGAAGCACCAGAGTGGTGTTATAAGAAAGAAAGAAAGAAAGAAAGAAAGAAAGAAAGAAAGAAAGAAATTAAACATGCACAAGATATGACTTCTTTCTTCTATCGGTCACCGTGTAATCTGTCACACGGTACACATGCCCATTTTATAATATCTTACTTATTTTCATGTTTTGTTTTAATCAGTTCATTCCAAACAAGTTTGGATACTAAGACACAAGGGTCTAATGGCAGTGAATGTGAATGAAAATAAACTTTAGAAGGAACCGGAAACTCAATCTTAAACAGAGAACATGGGATAAACCTTTACTTCTGAACAAAAGACCGGGAAGGAGTGTGAAACGGATGATAGGCGAACCTATCTACTCCTATTGACTGTAAACAACTGACTACAATCTGGAATATGTATCCGCTTCAAATAACCAACAAAGGATTGATAAACTGTAAAAAAGCCAATCACTCAATCGAACTTACGTAAAATCCACGTTTCACCTAAGAAATAAAAATAAATCTATTTCTATTGACTGTAAGCAAATGATTCCAATCGACAAAAAGGAATGTGGTCTGTTATCAAAACTATAATTCTATTTCAACAGTCTACCCTCTCTCTCTGCTTCTGTCTCTCTCTGCTTCTGTCTCTCTCTCTGTCTCTGTCTCTCTCTCTCTGTGTCTCTCTTTCTGTGTCTCTCTATCTCTCGCGCGCGCTTTTTCTCTTTCTCCGTCCTTTTATTTTTTAATATCTTTCACAATTTTCCTTCAACCGAAGAATCGTGAATATTGGGCGTTGTGGTCGGTTTCACGCTTGCTGGTGCTTCTGAAGAAAATTACTTTTCCTCTCTATTTATTATAATAAATAGGGTTGCAAGGACATTTTATTTGGGAGGCGGGGGTGCTACAAACTGCTATTTTGATTTTGTCTAAACTGTTGGTGTAAATGAATTTTGATCTCTAAAAATTTTTATTACGTGAGCCTCTTCTAGGCTCGCTGAGTTAATCTATTTTTAGACCCGAGGAAAACGGATGAAATTTGGACGAAGGAAATTTCCTTCAACATTTGCAACGTAAATATTCCTCTCGGAAGAGTATTTTCCAGCTCAAGCATCTTTGAGATTCAAATCGATGGGGCGGAACGATTATTCTGTTTTTATTCGAGCCATTATTATCTTGATTATTCTGTTTTTATTCGAGCCATTTCTTTTATCAGATATTCAAAAAAAATTCCTCCCGCTCTTTAATTTAGGCTGGGAACATTCTAGAACAAAGCGTTTTTTTTTCTTTTTAAATATGTAAAAATATGCTGTATAAGATATATTATACTAGAATATCCAGTGCAAAATATTTTTTCCGAAATAAAAATAAAAGAAATTGTGTAACGAAGAAAGGTGGCCAAGTCTCGCCAAATGACTCTGATTCCTGATTTGATTCATCATCAAAAGTTCACGCCTTATTGAATACAGGCAAATAGGACAGATGGAGTCAATTTCGGTGTGCACAGTTGAAAAAGAAAAAGACCTTTAAAACACATGGATAAGCGCGTCGTAATAGCGCATGATTACATCTGGAAATGGAGATTCTCTAAGCAGACCCACTCTTCTCGGGTTGCTCTCATAACCTTTTTGGGCTTTTCATCCACTGTTTATTTAAGCTAATGCTTCAACGGGTTTACAGCTCAGTGTCATTTTCAGAAGAGTTTCAAGTTCCAATTCATTTGCAGATTCACAGAAAAGGCTTTTTTTTAAATAAATAAGTAAAACGAATCATCTGTCTGTGAAATAAAGTGATATTTGCGGTAAACATTAGAATTGGTTTACTTATACAGAACTTAATATCTACATTCAGAACCACAAATTTATTCCATATATATATATATATATATATATATATATATATATATATATATATATATATAGAGAGAGAGAGAGAGAGAGAGAGAGAGAGAGAGAGTGACTGTGTGTCGGCGGTGTAAAGGATAGTAGAACTCAAGGAAAAATCAGGGAGCTGAGTTCGAATAACATTCGAGTTCATTACATCCTCTTACAAGTAAATTGAGAAGGTTATGGATCTATCTTTTTCCCCCAACCCCACATCTAGGGTTAAATAACAGAGCAGGCAGATCTCTTTTGGTTTGGTTGGCAACCAGACAATGAGTAGGAAAACTGTGAAATCAAAACCGGTTTGGCATGAAGCTAGCAACTTGATATCGTAAAACCTACTTCATACGGAAAGTGACGTTGTGGAGAGCTGTGATCTCATACTTCCCAGCAAAGTCTACGAAGTTTTAATATATATATATATATATATATATATATATATATATATATATATATATATATATTATTATTATTATTATTATTATTATTATTATTTTAAAAATATTTTTTCACCGACACAATAATTTCAATGTTTCGGAACTAAAATTACTCTTCCATTTTCAAGCGATATTCAATAACTTCAGAAAAAAAATAATTTACTTTTGAAATTTCTAATGGACCACTGAATATAATAAGTATTGTATTTTAGCTCATAATAATTAAACATATAATAAAATGATTTAATCATACTAGAGGCCCCTTTAAAAAAGTCCTAATGTATAAAAAAAATAATTTATAAAAATAAAATGCCAAAATTAACATATACCTAACTGTATTATTTCAATGTTTCTTATGATTATGTTATTAACAGGAAGCAATGGTAACATGCCTAATACAAGACAGACAGTTCATCTAGACAAGCATGAATTACGTACCCACACCTAACCTATAACCTACATTTTTTTCACTTTTCTACTTTAACTCAGGCCTGTATTTGGACAAATAAGACAATATCCATAAAAAGAAATTTGAAAATTTCTTCCCCTCCTACTTAAACTCTTCAATATAATACTAGTTCCCTTTCAAAAGTAAATCATTTTTTCTGGAGTTATTGAATATCCCTTGAAAATGGAACAATAATTTTAGTTCAGAAACATTGAAATCTCTGTGTCGCGATGAAAAAGAATGAGTGAAAGAGGATAGTTAGAAAATAAAGAAAGGAAGAAGATGAAGTAGGAAAGAAAGAAACAAAAAGCAAATAAATAAATATGTAAATAAAGAAAGAAGGAAAGAAAGAATGAAAATGGGTTAGGAAGAAAGAAAGAAACAAACAAACAAACAAAGAGGATAATTAGGAAAGAAATCAAATGAGTTATAAAGGAAAGAATGAATTAATGAAATTGGATAAAAGAAAGAAGGAAAGGAAGGAAGGAAGACGGTGAATGAAGAAATTAAGAGACAAAAACAAATAAATAAATATGTAAAGAAATAAAGAGTGAAAGAAACAAAATGGATTAGAAACGTAAGAAAGAAAGAAAGAAAGAAAGAAAGAAAGAAAGAAAGAAAGAAAGAAAGAAAGAGGATAATTAGGAAAGAAATCACATGAGTTATAAAAGAAAAAAAGAATGAATGAAAGAGTATATTTAGAAAAGAAAGAAAAGAAGAAAGGAAGGGAGAAGGGGTATTAAGAAAGAAAGAGACAAAAAGCAAATACGTAAATATGTAAATAAAGAGGAAAAGAAAATAGGTTAGAAACGTCAGAAAGAAATAAAGAAAATAATCAAAGAAAGGATAATTAGAAAAGAAATCAAGTGGGTTATAAAAGAAAGAATGAAAGAAAGAAAGAAACAAAGAAAGAAACAAACAAAGCAGAAATGAAAGCATATCGTTAGAAAAGAAAGAAAGAAAGAAAGAAAGAAAGAAAGAAAGAAAGAAAGAAAGCAGAAATGAAAGCATATCGTTAGAAAAGAAGGAAGGAAAGGAAGCAAGAATGCGAATTAAGAAAGAAAGAGACAAAAAGCAAATAAATAAATATGTAAATAAATAAAGAGGGAAAGAAAGAAAAGAAATGGGTTAGAAACGTCAGAAAGAAAGAAAGAAAGAAACAAAGAAACAAACAAACAAAGGGAGAAGGTGAATTAAGAAAGAAAGAAGCAAAAATCAAATAAATACATACGTAAATTATGAAAGAAAAGAATGAAAGAAAAATTAAAAAGAAAGATGGAAAGAAGGATAATAGTTAGGAAAGAAATCAAGTAGCTTATAAAAGAAAGAAAGAAATAAAGAAAGAAAGAAATGAAGAAAGAGGAGGGTGAATTAGCAAAAAACAAAAAGTAAATAAGTAAGCATGTAAATAAATAAGGAAAATGGTTAGGAAAAAGAAAGAAAGAAAGAAAGAGAGAAAGTAAGAAAGAAAGAGAGAAAATTCAAGTGATCAAGAAGAGAAATCTAAGCAAAGAAGACAAGCGAAGGTGAAAATTATCTTTGTTAAAAAAGAAGAACGTTAGCTAAATAAAAAATAGTCAGAAAAGAAAAAGAAGATTAAACTTTGAAATAATCAGAAGAAAAATGGAAATAAACTATAAAAGAAATAAAGAAAAGAAAATGAGTGAGAAAAGAAAGAAAGAAAGATCAAAGAATGAAAGAAAGGAAGAAAGAAAGAAAGAAAGAAAGAAGGAAATATCGAAGAAAGAAAGAAAGAAAGAAAGAATACAACAGAAGAAATATTTCCTGAAAAGTGAATTAAGATGAAAAATAAAATGAAGTAAAGATACGGAAGGTTGTAAGAAAAATTATGTTATGAAAGGAATAGAAAAAGAACATTTAAAAATACACGTTTCCTAAATTTAAATAATGACAGTCTTCAAACATGCGACTAAAAAAAGCGTACTGGTATTATAGCCTTTTATTAAGCGTAGCTTACATGTGACATAAAATCGAATGTTGGAGGATCAAATGACAATGTAGTTCTATAAAAATATACTGAGGATACAATAGACCGAATTTGTGAGCAACAACAAAGTTTTAGAACAAATGGAAACACGAATGACACTTATATTTAACATTCGAAACAGATAGTCGACATTTCTAGGGCACATAATGAGAAAAGAGAACTTGGAAAACCTGATACTCACAGGACAGATTGAAGGTAAGAGGGCCAGAGACAAAAAGCTGTTAGCCTACCTAGCGAGCTTGAGTAAATCGGTAGTGTGACAATGTTTAGTAGAAATTACAAAAAGACAAAATTTATTAAGAGCTACAAAGGACAGGAAATTGTGGAGAGCCATGATCGTCTATGTTCTAAAGGGATACATCACATACAGTGGAGATTGGACTACTCGTAATTGATCTAGCAAGACAAGTGCCCAAAATTACTTATCTAAGCATGACTTAGATGTGATATAAGGCCATAGTTATGGAACACCGCAGCCCTAATTGATCTAACGAGACAAGCTTGTTAACAATTGCACCACGTTCAAGTGCCGGTAATAAGCTATTTTTTTTTTAATATTCTTAGAATGAGTTCAGAAACTGCAACGCACTTGGCATCGTAATACGTAATATATACATAATCCTATTAATAAATTAATTAATCCTATAATTATATCATGTTTATTAAGCCTATAATTATATCGTATTTATAAATCCTACGATTATTTCATAAAGGTTAACATAAAATTAAATAGATTTGTAATTGGATTGGTCTTCAATGTGGTCAAGGAATATTCTTCTGGTAAGACAGAATGTAAAACATTTGATGTTAAGATTTATTTATTAAGTAATATAATCATATTTATGCCATAAAATATTTGATAATGCAAAATGGCAGAATTGTCTAATAATAGTGAATACGAAGTTTTACATTGTTTAATTTTTTGTTTACATGAGATAAAAGCGTAAAGGGTCCGGGATCAGACGATTTGTTTTCTAAATTAATCTAAAAGATTGTTAATTTAATTTTACACAAATATATAAACGCCTTTCATTTCTTTTCTTTTCCTTTCTTTTCTTTTCTTCGAAAGGAAGCACTATGGGAGATGGCGGCTGCTTTATTAAAAACATGTAAAATTAATAGTAAATCTGTTCTCCGTCAGCTGCAGCTGTAGTCGTAGTTCTATTATTTATAGTGTAAACAATGTCGCAAACGTTGCACAAACCTGACACAAGATTATGTTCTATGAAAATGCATTTTTCTTCTTAAGTAGTTTGATTTTCATTAATTAAATCTGACCTTCATTTTTGGTAATTTTTCACTTTTGAAAATGAAAATTAATTTTTCAATTCGAATGGTGTGAAATGGCTCTAAACTGAAAGTACGATTGACGGTGAAAATATAATACAAAACTCTGTCATTACAAAATAGAGAAAGCCTGTTTTTATTTTATTCTTTTATCCATTACTATTATTATTATTATTATTATTATTATTATTATTATTATTATTATTTGTTTGAATCTCCAACAAGCGACCTAACGTCAGAAATGGTTTCATGACATTTGCCATTGGCCATTTCATGTTCATATGCTTGCTTCATCGAATTCTCTTTTGTGGTTTTAGCGGACATAAACTTGCATTTGAAAGTTTATCCGAGTCTCATGTCCAATTCTTTGCCTGTTTTACTCGTTCAGCTTGGAAAATGTTCCAATTTCTTCAGCTCTATAGATTTCTAACTGATTTGACGTAATGCCTAAAACCAAAACTTTGAAGGAATTCTTTCCTGAAATTCTTAACAATTATTATTTTTTTAAATTCACATTCACAATTTATAAGCCCTACTTCCCTTTTCAATATTTCATTGCCTTTTTAATGCTGCTAATTTAATAAATATTTTTCTTTTCCAGTGACACTTGTCTGCCATGAAATTTCAGACTTCTAAATACATAATTTTACTAATTTCTGTTTAATTTCTTTCTTCATTTCTTCTCCGGATAGATTTCAAGAGAGTTCCTAAAAATCCATTAAATTTTCAATACGTTTATGATCTACGTATTTAATATTTTCTTATTCTTTGAGTTCCCCGACTAAATCTAGATGTTTTTTTTTTTGTCGTTTTTTTTTTACTTATTTATACGTATTATTATTATCAGTACTTTTTCATATAATGTCTTAATATCTGGTAAATAATTCATTGGAGAGGTTCTCAACCAGTAACCATAGACAGCAAGTGATTTTCAACGGATTGTAATATTATCACTTTTCCGATTCTTCATGCCGTTACTAAGAGGTTACTTTTCTTCAACTTTTCCTCTGGGCAATCGATGCTATATATGTCGCCGTCTTGTCAATCGTTGTACCGAGCACACCAATGGCAACCGATATGATTATGGCCTTCATTTTCCAAAACTTTACAAGTTAATACTTCAGTGGGTCATTGTTAATCATTTTCTCTCCTTTTGCTATATCCTTGTTATATTTACTATTCATAATTCTATTATTATTTCATTTCCTTTGATTTTTGGTCTATACTCATTTCTTTCCGGATCCCAGCCAGAGACCTAAGGTCGGAAATGCCATCATGACATTTTGCACTGAGCATTTAAAAAATAAAACTAACATCATACACATTTTACATAAATAACATCTTTTTCAATCAAGCCGAGGGGTGGCTCCAACTACAAATCATCATCATCGTCATTGTCTTTCGATTTCTGCTATGATCACACGACCTGCCAAGCCTGGCAGGTAGTGGTGTGTTGCTATGGCTACATTACATGATTTGCTTTTCTAATTCCCGTTAGAATGGACAAGTTACATGGACAAGGTTCTTTTTAACGTGTGGGTTGTACTTATCAAGACATTTTTTTGTATTTCTCTTAAGCTTCAATTTCCAGGGATTTTTTTTTCAATGTGTGTGTTCCTTTTTTATCATTCCAAGCGCGCCTACTATGACTTTTTCTATTCTTGTCTCCAATGTCCACATTTTTTTTTCTGTTTCGATTTCCAGGTCTTTATACTTCAACAGTTTTTCAAACTCCTTGGTTGCAATGTTACAGTCCACTGGGCTACCATATCATTTAGTAGGCAAGATATTTTTTTCTTTTTGGCCGTTTGCACAGTTCCTAGCGAATCATATTTATTGCCCTGTCATGCCTGCTTTTGTACATATTTGTGAACAGTCGTGCTGCATTTACTTATATCAAACATAGGATCATTATTATTAATATTATGTTGATTTTCGAAATGATCTGCCCTTTTTTATTATTTAATATAAGTAAAAAGAAAACGAAATGCATTGAAGGTTTAGCGGTGTGCGCTTAATAAATTGCCTTATTTGAACTAATTACACAAAATGCAATCTACTGCCAGCCTAGCTTGACAGATGTTTATTTATAAGGCTGAGGTGAATTGTGAGCCGTCAGAGGAGATCAATCATTTTCAAATGTCACTTGAAAAACAGTTGTTCTTCATCGCAAACAACTGGAGCGTGCCTAGAGCTTGGCGACAGACTCTACGCTTTTTATCGTGGGAATTCATAAGAATACATACATGATGGCATGCTTTATATATATATATATATATATATATATATATATATATATATATATATATATATATGTGTGTGTGTGTGTGTGTGTGTGTGTGTGTGTGTGTGTGTGTGTATACCTACATTAATTACAAACAGAATTACATTTATGTGTGCATATATATGTGTGTGTGTGTGCGTGAATGTGTGTGTGCGTGCATTTTAAAATGGGTACAAAATTTAATAATTGCTATGAAAATGGACATATTATAATGAAATAATAGGAAGAAATAACATATTTACTATATATACAAACAAAAATGTGTTAGCTTAAAAAAGCTTATCAGGTTTTCGTTTCTCCTGGTACCAGAGATCTAATGAGGGCTAAAAAAATGATACTGTAAATAAAACGTAGGATGTTATATATGTTAAATATATAATATTCAAAGGCTGATATGGTTCAGGCCTAGAAGTCACCCTTTCTGCAGACAGT